TTATTATTATTATTATTATTATTATTATTATTATGTTGTGATGATGTTGTTTGTACTGTTCTTTAATTTTATTAAAGAGGGCCCCTGAATGTCAGTTAACCTACTGGGCTAAACTAGAAGGGTTACTCTCTTTAAAGATGGTTGAAATAAAAAATAAAACAAAATTATACCCACTCTGACTTAAGACCCCTGTTACGCGCCTGGTGTTAGCGCCAATGTGTGCCCTTGTGTGGACAGGAAATGTGCCCCCTCTGAAGTTGGAAACCTTGTTTTTGCAAAATAAATTGATGCAATTTGCTGTTATAGGCCTAATCAATAAATTCCTCATCAACCGATATAACCTTAAATATTCTTGGAATTGATATAACATTACTGATGTCGTACACACCTTTCAGCGTGAAATGTGGCTCTCTTTGCAAGCACATCTAACATCTACGGAAAGAAGAGCTTAGATTGGTACCAGATAAAATAATTTTGTTATCAACATTAATACATTATGCTAATCTTCATCTTTGTATGGGCATAAGACAGTGCAAATTATTTCTGTGACAGTCTTTTGTGTAAAGCTCCATTTTATCCCATACATAGTCAAAATATTGGGGGGGGATGATACAATGGACCCTGTCTCTTATACACATCTAGATGTGTATAAGAGACAGGTATATAATAGACTCTTTGATAACAGTTGCAATTTAATTTTGCCATATAGTACCCTTGATGAGCCCATAAAATTATATGGTAACAATATAAATACTCAATACTCAAATAAATAAATATTAAATACAGTTATCTAACATCTGTCTCTTATACACATCTAGATGTGTATAAGAGACAGAATTAATTTCAATGAATATAAAATAAACAAACTATTCCATTATTTATATGCTATTTTAAATATTAATTCATTATTCATATGTGATTTGGTATTTATTTGAGATTAAAATGTTTATAATTTCCCCATTTTTCCAGACGCAATGGATAAAAGATAACGACTATGGTGGTGTTATTGTGTGGGCACTCGATCTTGATGACTTTAGTAATAGTCACTGTAGTGAAGGACCATATCCTTTATTAAATGCTATTAAACAAGGCTTGGAAAACGACGATGATGCTAATAACTCTACTGAGGAACCGATCATTCCGGAGATAACTGAAGAACAAGTGACTGAGCAAACAGACTCAACAACTGCCAGAGAATCTGAAGACACAGTAGAAGGTATTAATATGAATTATTTATTAGAAATTTCATATTGAAATGAAATTATATAGGCCTACCATTTATTTTATTTTTATTTATTTTTTTTAATAGATTCTTCATCGTCATACAAGAGGATATGTTACTACACTAATTGGGCTCAGTATCGTTCTGGCAACGCGCAATACACTCCAGACGATATAGACGCGTATATTTGTACACATATTGTTTACGCATTTGCCTTTATGAACGATCAACATGAGCTGATCCCTTTTGAATGGAATGATGAAGACACTGATTGGTCTCAAGGAATGTATTCTAAGGTATATTTCGATTAATATCATACTGCAAATTGTTGTATCGATCCTTTGCTTGTTATAATGATTTAAATTAAACCAAATCTCAATAATATATTTTTATATATACTGTAATATTTAAAAAAGGAATAAATATATTTTAGGTAAATGCACTGAGGGAAGTAAACAACGATTTGAAGGTTCTGTTGGCCGTGGGAGGCTGGTCGTTTGGTGTTGCTAAGTTTTCAGCTATGGTTTCTACGTCGGCCAATCGTGCACATTTCATTTCGACATCCATAACTTATCTGAGAGACAGAAATTTTGACGGACTTGATTTAGACTGGGAATATCCAGCGGCACGTGGAAGTCCCGCTATTGACAAAGAGCGTTTTACTTTACTTGTACAGGTAATGTAGTCCAAAATGTTGATATTACACGAACGTATTTGAATTTTCTTGAAGCTACAGTGAACATATTGTGAGAAGCGATATCATTTTCACGATTAAGCATACATTTTCTTTTCAACATATTTGTAACTGGTATATAATGTTGAGATTACAAGAACGTATTTAAATTTTCTTGAAGCTACCGGGAACATATTGTGAGAAGCGATATTATTTTCACGATTAAGCATATATTTTTTTTCAACGTATTTGTAACTAGTATATAATAGACTCTTTGATAACAGTTGCAATTTAATTTTACCATATAGTACCCTTGATGAGCCCATAACATTATATGGTATCAATATAAATATTAAATTCAAATATCTAACATAATTGTTAATATTCGATAGGAGCTACGCCAGGCATTTGATGCGGAATACGATGGGAGTAAAGAAAAGTTACTGCTTTCCGCAGCAGTAGCAGCCGGCGAAGACACTGCTACAAATGGTTACGAAATGGCAGAAATAGCAAAGTAAGTCTTTAACATATGTTTATGTTAGTGTTGCAGCAATTCGAAATTAATACAATTATAAATTGGTTTATTTGTACACTTTTGAACATAAAAGAAAAAATACAGTAGATGCAAAAAAATCAATGTGAAATTCAAAGTGAGAATAAATTGAATATTTTTTGTGAGCAAAAATATTTGTTCGTCTTCCAGGCACTTAGATTGGGTGGGAGTGATGTCGTATGATTTACATGGTTCTTGGGAATCGCAGACCGGTCACCATAGCGCCCTGTACGCACCATCAAGTCAAGACCAAACACTGACTGTGGTAGGTTTACAAAATGTTTGTTTGGAAAATACAATTCTAACATTTCGACAAAATTAAAATGAATTTCAGTACCAATTAATCGCATTTACAACATCATTAAATTTAAACGTCAGTAGCAAAACAAGTGATAGAATAATTCCATACATATCATTCAACTATGTTATACAAA